CAGCCCTCCTTCGAGAGAAAATGAGACGGCTTAAAATTGTCAAAAGAAAAGGCATGCTCTTTGCGGATCCCAAGCACCCTACATTCGTATGAACTGATATTTCGGAACGAACAGTTTTGCAGAAACGAGTCGATCAAAATTTGAACCAAAATTTTTCGCCACCAATCTTTCTCCTGATCAGCGATTTCAAACGAGAGTACGAGATTCTCGCTACTCTCGGTACATAGGAAACAGGTTGAAGGTGCTAGAAAGGAACATCAGACAGCAAGTTAAATCTGGAGCTTATATTTTCTGTGATACACGTGCTCGTTACATCTCTCGAGTAGACATCGTCTTTGAATTCGGATCTCCAGCTGGCTCTGAACGATCCTTCTCACCGTTTCATCTGATCAGAGTCATTTGACCTTACATATAGCATAATTGTGGAAGATTTTAGCTTCGCATGGAACCCAAACTATCATTACGTTCTCCCCAAATCTTCACATCTCAAGATCATTTCGCACACGTCATGAAGTCCTTGAAATTTGTTCCTCATCGGCCTCCAAGTACACTGTCATGAGCTGTGTAAAGAGACCATGGATACAACAAACGTGCCAGGCTCGTAATATAGTAGCCCTAACAGTTGGAATCGAATACATGTCTGCAGGAGCCATTATAGCGAAGCTGACTCCATAATTGATCAAGGCGTGCAAAGCCAGAACTCTTGTTTGTCTAATTCTAAACACGTTCAGAAGATTTGCCCGAACATGTGGTTACAACTGGCGTAATTGTAATTCTGTTTATGTGGATTAAATGTCGTCGTACTGGACGTGCGCAAATTCGAGCATTAAGTGCAGAGACCTTTCAGCATATTAATGGAAGATACTTCATAATCAGACGTTGATTGTGGGAAGGATGCTGTTGTAAATTAGAAGGAATCAAATGACTTTGTGCACAACGTTTAACCGTGCTGCACGTTTACTTCGTTCTTGCTTCTTGCTGCCCCGGGAACTCAGAATCTGCTTTTATTGAGACCACTTCATGAACCTCGGAGTTCAGAAAATTTCTACGAAAGATTGTAGGCAGGTTCATGAACCTCGGGGTTCAGAAAATTTCTATGAAAGTTTCCAGGCAGGTCCAAGGAATGTCTGCTTTCTAAACCGCCTTCATCAGAAATTGAAAAAATTGTGAATTTCGAAAGAAAAGGTTGCATGCATAGAGAAGCTCTTCTACTCTTTCATATTTCCACCTCCTCTCTGAAATGTCTCTCTGACTTTTACATTTGTCGCGCTGTAAACCTTGGAGCAAAGAACCTCCAGTCCTGCTCTTCTTCATTACATAAATTTGCTGGATCGTGCTAAACGGCACGTCGTCCCATCTTCATCGCGTCACGTCATTCCTTATTACTGTTAGGTACATGCTTGACTTGGCTCCTCGACCGAATTGAAAGTTCGACGATTTTCAGGATCGATCTCACTTTCGAAAGCTTCCTCATTCCCTGTTTCTCCTTCCTTGTCTGAATGTTGCAGCGGAGGAACATTTGTCCAATTCTTTGGCTTATCACATTACGTGCAGAGTAACTAGTATTTCTAAGGTTATTAAGGGTTTGAAGTGATTACGACGAGCTAGATCTTTTAATGACTGGAACTTGGGAGAGCGTGATGAGCTTTTCTCGTCAGATGGGGCGACAGAGAACAAGTGTTCGACAATCGTTCAGTGTTCAAATTCTAACTTGTGGTTGACTTCGGAAAGCCCAAGTATTAGCAAAATTCGTCAACATGCCTGCTTGATAAAAGGCATGCACCCAAACGGCATTTTGTTCTGATGTTGAAAGTTTAAAGATTGATAGAATTGAGCATCGAGGACAACCAAGCAATTGGGCAGAAAGTACCATTCCTGGAATCAGTGGCATGCCTCATCCACCCCCATTCACTCATCTCCGCACAATTGTCACCTGAGAATCGCTGCGGTCAAGAGCTCAGCTGCAGTCGACAGTTCTCGTTGCAAGAGGGCTGAGGTCAGCGCACAGGGCCAAGGCATGTGAGTTTCTTATGCAAGACAAATGCTTTCTGTGTAGATTTTCAAATATCTTCACATTTCCTGGTACAATGAGTGCTGCGAGACCTAGTGAGTCAAAGGGCTCAAGACCAGTCTTTCCGAGCAAACATGGGGCTTGCTACACTCTCTTCAAAGTAGTTTGAAGGATCTCGACCACGTAAGTGTTTGGAAACAAACCCATCTTGCATACAACCTCTGTTGTAGCATTTGATCAACAATCTTTTGGTAGGTGAAAATTTGGTTCATCGTTAGGCACTTGCAGTACACCCTAACAAGAGAGAGACAGAGAGTCTGGAGCAAGGATCAACCTTTGTCTGCAAAGAAGATACAGCAGTACTCAAGGTTTTCAATCATAGGACACACTAGATATGAAGCCTACATGTTTGAGATAACATGCTAAAATATAAATTTTCGCCTACAAGGAATGTTCTGTGTTTACGCTCCGTTCACTGAGGTATTCTTTCTGAACTCAATTGTTGCTAGACATGATAGGGTTGCTCCATCTTTTCCACAGTAAAATGATGCATGATTTCCATAAAATTAACATGTAGACATCGCGGGCCACCGTCATATCCAAATTGTGATGTTGTTTATAAGCCTTACCACTAGTAACTCGTGTTAAATGTTAAGGGGAATTGAAGAAGGTTGCAGAGAACGCTTCAAGGGAAAAGCTTAATTCATAGGCTGTCTGTGCTTGGGCAGTTTAAGTGAACAGCCAAAATGTAATGTGGATGATATGCTCCTATAAAACTATCAACTCTAGTCCCGAGATAAGTATGTACATCTAAAATGCATGAATGTGTCAAGATTTCAAATGGGTCCGACCGATGCAAATTGCCTGTCACAAGAAATCACTGCCGTTCCCACCTTAACTGCTGACAAAATGAGCAGTTTCGGTGACCATACGAAAGGCAGTGCGAATATAAGTGGTTCAGAGAGCCAGGAACGAGAATTTCAGCTTTCTAGAGGCTAGAATCGACATCTTGGAGAAAAACCGTCATGAACAACACTGACAGTCTAGTTCCACGAGACCGGTTTAATGGTTCAATTTTCATCGAGCTGCAGCCGGGCGAGACATCATAAGAATCAATCATAAACAACGGACGAGACTTTTTTCTACGCTTCAGTGCCTATACAGGAGGTTGATACTTAAAATGACGCATCTGAAGTCAAGAAGTTTTCAGGTTCGTGTTAGTAGCCCGAAATAAAGAGACATAACTCGCTCATGCCTGAAACGTGGCAAGGCTCATCGGTGGTTGGGCACTGATCTTATTGGAATAACCCAGGCATGTGGAGATAACGTATCATCTGGACGTCGAGGTATCATATGTCGAGGGCTGGGGTTTACTCATAGGTGATTCAGCATAGCCTACTTTCCATATTACTTCTATATTCTTAGTTTAGCATTGAGAGGGCGGATTTGCATGGTAGTTGGCTTTTAGCCTTGGATCTAAAGCACAAGATTGAACGGATAATACTACTCTGTCTGTTGCATGATTACATTTGCGGTTTTCCCGCACACTTTACTTCATTGTTCAAAGATGTATGAAAATTCCTAAGACGCGTGATCGGGAAGATTTGGCCGCATCAGGAGAAGTGATGACACCGAGTTTCCCTCCCCTTGGACGTTTCAGGCGTCATCTCAGGAACTCCTGTTCCGTACTCAGCGCTCGTATGATCGAGATATAATTTACAGCTGAGAAGAAACTCTACTCAGAGTTGCGAGTCCTCCGGCGATGAGAAACTCAGATCAGATGTCTCTGGGAGATGTGTAATTTCATAGGTATCGGGAGATGTGTCTGACATGTTTATCATCAGTTCAGGAATCTCTCCGTCTGCGGGGATTTTCCGGGGACGTGTGTAATGTTGATCTCTCCCACTCTTGAGGACCAAATCCCAGCCAACGACCCTCCTAACGGGCACTCATTTTCTTCTCCCATGGGAGTGCGATGCGTTCCATGCATGAAGACCGTCAAAGATTCGACGGTCCAGCGCTCGGACAAGTCCAGGGGGCCATGGCGGCAACGACCGCGCCATGCATGCGGAGAAAATAGATTCAGTGTATGCCTGCCTTACGGCAAACCGGGGTCCTAGCGTGCAGTCGGGCTCAACATCAAGTAAAGGACGGAGAAAATGCTCATCGTATGCACGTCGGTTCACCCTCTCCGTTCCATCAACCTCTGGGCACTGTCCACGTCCGGGGCTGCTTTCTCTCTTCCTCAGTGAACACTCGGATGGCCCGAGCGAGGATCGCGCGGGTAGAATTAAGAACGACTATCGAACGAAGAAGGGTCCGACCTGTCCTGTTCCCCGCAATTGCAGCTGTAATTATCCGATGGGTATTACAGGTCTGATTTGCTTGGGTTAATCATTAACCCAAGCAACCCATTAACCGTTAATGAGTTGCTCAGTCGCAGGACATGAAGACATCCTTCAGCTACTGCGACAGCCTTGAGTTGTTGGCCAACGAGGAAGAGATGCTGGAGGGATCACACTCTTAGAGACTGTTAAGTATATTCATTTGTACCTTTTGACAAGGTGGCGGACTGAAGGGGAGCGCAGAGGCTCTATCGAGAAATTAATGTACACAGTACTGCTCAAAGCGCAGTGCGTGATGCGTGCAGCTGGGCCTATTCATCGCAGCACTGCTTTAATCTCCGCTTTCTCCAAAATGGAAGCGATGATCGTCGATCGTGAATCCAGGCTTCAGACTCGTTTCCCTCCATGATGCTGCAAAGACAATTACTGCGTATCGGAACGATCTCTAACTGAGGTCTTGAATCGGGAAAGTATTAAATCGTCATTTTACATGTTTCCACCTCCTGACTCATTTGGAGCATGACGAGAGCGCTTGATGGAGAACAAGCTCTCACTCGCCAGGCTTTCTCATCTTCTCTTACACGTGCCAATCTTATGGCCGGACCCAGCCTCGGATATTTCAACGCGTGCAAACACAAAAAATTCTCAGACGCGATGAAATTTTTTTTGTGCGACGTTTCAGGTCAGAAGTTACAACTTCGAGTTCCAAAATCTTGTAGACCCGGATTAGTAAGAAGAAACCATAAGATCCCTGGTCCAACTCCCACTAATCCTCAAAGCCATGTCCAAATAATTTCACCTGTAATTACGAATCTAAAGTTCACCACTCAACACTCATCGCAGAATAGCGAATCTTTGGTAGCTTCAGAACAATGAAAAAAACGTAACACTCGATCCGACGTATCCCACCGTCGGCCTACAAAAATGAAAGAAGACTTTGAGATTCAGATGACTTCTCGCATGTGAGTGCAAAGTGAGTGCGAAGCTTATTAGTCTATTCCTATTGGTGTTTCTGCCAGCTGCTTTTCTTCCATGCACATTCCTCTTACAATTGTCAGTACGACAAGTAAGCATTCCCACAATTGAAATTCTCATATCAGAGTGAAGAGATCAGTTAGTCAATCAGCCACAACCTTTCTCCAACATAGAGGTCAACGATATGGATGACAACACACCAGCAAAATTAAGGAAATACAACGAAACTAGGTCGAAGTAAAACTGATACTACTTATCCATACTTGACAAACGTATCAAGGTTTCTGATCCTATGATTTTCTCGAGTGGAACCAAGATGTTCTGAAACTATGTTCAATTTTCAGACTCAAGAGACATTTCTATGGTAAGTTGTACGTACGAGGAATGAGATGGCTCTTTTCTCTCAAGCCAGAGGTATGTACTACTGCCGAAGGAACTTGACAATTGTAGGACTGAAGTAGGATCTTCAGTCCCTGGATTCATATCCCCACGTAATTCTCAGCACTGATATTGAACAAGTTCTTGCGGATAGCAAGTGTAGTGCTCAAGTACCTAAACAACACTGACATCAACAAACCTGAGCGGTAGGAAATACGGAAATTTGTGAGGGCAAAAATGATCTTCGAAAGTGTAAGAATTAGGAAATCAGGGGTTGTCGCATGTGGCGTAGATGCTACTGATCCAAGCTCCTGACTTGCAGCAGATCAGCTCATGCCTGATCAAGACTTCGCACATGAGGTAGATAGTGCATCATATCATCTCAAGGATTCAAACACATAGGCACACCAGAGACATGACAAATTCAGTTTCATCACTGAAAGAATTTCCATGCAGATGATATCAAATTCAATTCCAGATCCAAAAGATTTATCCGGAACGCGACGTGGAGGTCTGTAAGTGGAATTGGTGTGATAAATCGCATTCGCTTGTGAATCGTCGAACCTACATTGCGTCACATGTAATGGGACCAAGCACCGAATGGCCACAGCTCGATCAGAAGCTGCGAACCTGGTAATAACGTGCACAAGAGGCTTCAGACGAAATGAAGAATCGGCGTACACATGCCAACTACGAAATCGACCTCTTGCCAATCAGGCTGCATAAAGATCTAGAGGGGAGTGAGATTTCTTGATTGAACACAACTCAGATCTTGAGCTCCTCACGGTTCCGCGACCTCGCGGTCTTCTGAGGAGCAAAACTCAGAGAAGCAAACAATCGCTAATGATTAAGTCTCAGAAAGCTCATGGATCTCTAAACTCTCAATTCAGTCAGTCACGGCAGCAACTCATTTTCCAATAACTTCACATGAGGTCAGACACATGCAAATTTAACAATGTACTTCTTGCGCTAAGGTGAGGTAAAGACGACACTTCCAGCACAGGACAGCAACCAGCGGAATCACGGGACTGAAGTTAAATCCGTATGATTATTCGTTGAGTGGTAAGAATCACCTGATCATGAGCTTTGTTTGACATCAGTGAGATTCGAGGTTTAGTCAGACCACAATGAGGAACCTGACTTTTACCATCTGTGCGCGCGAAGGGCATAATTCCTTTCCAGAGAGAATCGGTGCGGGCCGAAGCGTTTGATGCATGAGAAGCACGTATGTGTGGTCAAGGGAAGAGAGACACCAGCCGCCTCTGCATGGCGAGTTTTAGTTGGGCAGCTCGACAGGATCTAACAAGCACTCCCAAAACCCGCTAACTGTCGAGCCAACCCATCGGAAACCGCTTACTTCCCAATAGTTAACAATGTCGACTGTCGACGATCCAAATCTACAACATGGATGGTTGACTTTCGACATGGTAAGAGCCAACCGCTCTTTCGCAGTTTTCGACTCACTCACCAGGAAGTGTAAACAAAAATGGGGATGAATGAACTTGAAGAGTTAGTACATCATCATTAGTCGGTAACATGTCAAATATCCACGGTCTTAGTTGCTTATAATAGTCCAACGAGGAAACATAGAATAACTGTCATCGGACACTCGTGCTCAGGGGCTTGTTTATAGTTCGAATGTAGAACACTGACGACAGCTCTGACTTCTCGAGAATGCTTTCTGAAATTCCTACGCTACATTCCACAGGTACAGATGCGGACATTAAAGCTGGTACTAAAATTCGGAACGAGGTACAGCATATAGAGAGGGATCTAAATCCACCACTCAGCTTGCTAGTTCGTGCACCCCAGTATAAACTTTGACTTTGACGTTCGAATCTAGACGAGGAGGAGGAACTGCCGCGCTACTCGAATTACTAGAGACACGGAACGCCCAGTACAAGTGCGATCTGCCCGTGTGTACGGAGAAGAATGTGAACCTTGAGACAGTTTATAACGAGGTAGGCTACGGTGCTATTGTACAATTCTGTTTCTTCATTGCAGGATTCGAGCTGGCTCGTCTTTTCTTCGTGGAGTTTCACTGTAAGCTAACATTCCCAGGGACCCACTAGCAGAAACAGAGAATAATCGAAAATGAGAGGCTTCAGAGGGAAGAATCCCTTGTTCTCTTATACTTGTGGAAGCAGAGAAGAAGAACACAATGGCTGACTGAAGAGAAGTAAAAGCTTTCGGTTCACCTGTTAACGCTGCCGCTGTGGTGTTCCTTAAATGGTGATGAACTCCCGCTCCTTGGTCAGCTGGACAAAGAACCCGCGGCCTGCGAATTTTATCATGTGGAAAACATTCAGAGCGCATGGTAGAGAAACACCTGAGAAGAGTGCAGATTCCCACCAGCCGTTCGAGTGTGAGAGCGCAAGGTTGTCCTCGAAAGCTCTACAAGTACGAGCATCAGGTTTCCCAGTGTTGAGGTCGGTACTGCTTGTACAATGTACATTCCATACGGTACTAGGGTTAGGGTTCGCTTCCCTCCACTATTAGTGCTGTGATGCGAGTAAAGACGAGTACATGAATTCCGATTCTGTGAAGTACGAAGTCACCAATGACAGATCTGCAGGTACAGATTGCGGCAACACGAGGTCACATTACGACGGCAATATGGACCAACTAGGGAGCCAGAAGAACCAGCGTGTTGAAGATGCCATTGCATCCAACATTACCTTCATCATGCTCTACTAGGTACCGTGATATCGCTGCCTTGAGTCCTTGACTTGGCACCTTTACTGAGTTCCCTCGTCACTCATTTCGGATTTTATAAATGCTCATTTACGGCCCCAACAATACCCCCGATTTCGTGGTCACGAGCCCAACTCAACCTTTCTTCGACTTGGTGTTGAGTATCAGATTTCTCTCCCTGTAGCCGCTTCTACATTCCTCTGCCATGGTAGGTGGGACTTGGGAAAGAATGTGTGTAAACAATGCACGTTATCCGCAAGTCAAGGACCTGTTTGTGTAATCAAGATGAAATTGGTCCTTCTGTGGTATCTGTACAGTAATGGAAGGACAATATTATATGTTTATATGTGAGGAAAGGCATGATAAGCGTAAGGAGATTACCGCATGACGTTCGATTTGTATAAATGGGTACAGTACAGTACATGATGTGGGTCGAATTTCCAAATTATGACTCAGTACTTGTATAACCGTGGATGACCTCATGGATTTTCATCACTAGATCGTCATCATGACAGGAGTCTCAAAGTTGGGAGGACCTCCACATATGGCGATGAATGACACAAAAAATAAATGCACAGATCGGCAGGATCCGGAGGGAGATATTAACGTCTCGCGTGTGTCTCCAATCAATGGTTCTTTATTCTCCGTCTCGTATATTCTTATTTTCCGAAATTCCACCAGATGCCATCTAACCGCTAATCGTCGATGACAATTTGGAATTGTAGCTCCTGGCTCCTCTGTAGGCGAGAAAAGAAGAACAGAAAAGGGGAGGGTAGTTAGAAGTACACCTCTTGCAGGCATTTGTACAGGAGGCTCCGAGGAGGCGGGAAGTATGTCATTTACTGATAGTTATGACTTACCTGCGCGCGGTCGCAACAGGGGACTTTGTTGTGAGTAGCAGATGCAGAGGAAAATGAGAACACTCTAAGTGGCAAGAGTCAGATCAGAAACCGATTCGTGTTCTGTGTCGTTTGTCTGATTTGTTCAACAACTGTCTGATTTGTTCTTTTGACATGAGGCGGACTCCACTGCTTGTTGCCAACTTCGCTGCAGAGTATATGTGGGGGTTGAGAAATGTTCTAAGCAGCAATAAGCATTCCATCACGGAGAGGATCGTACGGGAGTAGTAGTATACGCCGCCCGGAAAGGATTGGATGTTCACAGAAGCTCGCTTTGATCTTCAGAAATGAGACAGAGCTTATTCAAGCTAGCACGGATCCCCGTAGTCGTCCGGAGAAGATGAAATTTTCATTCATAGGTTTTCAAGGCAGATAGATAGAAACACTTCCACCTCCAAACCGTTCATGGGACATCGGGCGGTTCATGGGACATCGGGCGATCCATTACTTGGTCTCCGTTTTCTCACAACTTAACGATCATGTGCGTAAAATGAGCTGTCATACTCACGACAAATTGTCTACATCCGTCCGTTCATACATCCACCACTGAAAATGCAAACCGAAAGGATTATGCCCTGTGCGGTGCTTAACAAATTAGTCAGTCTGCGGCATCGGAGCAGTCTCCTCCATTCCGCATTCAGGAGCAGTCGTTCCACTGCCGTCTGGCACTTGTATTGCATGTGAGCTTTAGAGAAAAGCGAGGGCAGTAGTGGAATTACGTATTCTGGCCACCCAGCAATTATGTGGGTATCTGTGGTCAGCTAAAAGCTACACACTACTCTGTACTACTACTACTACAGACTCTAGAGCGGGTTCAGAGAAGTCGTAGCCTGGAGCGATGATCTAGGAAAGCGTGAACACAGAATAGTAAGTGCAATTTTTGGCTCCATGCAGGTGAGGAGGATTTCGTTAAAGTAAATCTGCGGAGATCTAAGGTGCTGCAGCACTGAGTGGAAAAAGCTGGCATTCCTGCTGGGTGCAAGCAACGACAAACTGGGGAAGAAGATGAAGAATGTTCAACTTCACTGTGAAGACAGCGCGCGACTCAGAGTAGGGGAAATTATATGTGTGTGTGTCTACGCAATATTACTTCTAATGGTCCAAAAAGGAGGAGGTGGAGTGCGTCACCTTGCAGGGGAAACTGTGTTCATGTTTGGAGTTGACCCCTTCACGAAAGAACATGGATTTAGAAGTAGCTGCAGAATAAAAATACTAGACTGCAGAAACGATTGGACGCGAAGAAGCCTCGTGCTCTCGAGCTCGCTATGGATCATGGAAGAGGCATATGCAACTGTCATATGCATTAACACCGATTCATAGGACAGGTGACTTTAACTGCTTTCGAGGTGAAGCAGTTGCAATGATTCAAGGAAATTGCCTTGAATAGAGGGCACAAAGACAAGACATCCATCTACTCCTTACCCACTCATGACTCATGTGTTGTTTGTTCCTTATCAGGAGTTGCTTTATGTCTCAATATCGCTTTGTGTCTTGTCTCGCCAGATTCCTAACGAGTTTGGAACCTCGTCCATTAACCGCAAGGCTCCACCACTCACCCACTGAAGGTCCCTCCCTCCTCCACCTTCCCTGTCCAGGCCATTGTGCCTTCCTCCATTGCTATCCTTTCGATCCATGCAAGTAAACCAGGATAAAACAGCTCTAGACAAACTTATCGTTTCATATATTCCAAGTTTGTAAATAGGTCAAATATTATTTTTTTTAAATTCAAATACTTCTCTCACCCTTTTCAAGATCCAAACACATATAACATGTCAACAAGAAATTCTGGAAAGCGTGTTATAGATACTTTATTTTCACATGTCTTTTTACATCAGATGTTAGAGAGAAAATATAAGACTTGTTCAAATAAAATTCAAGCCCTTCAGAAAGTCGAAGTAATATAAACATGATGTCCATTGTAACAAGAAAAAATACTGCAACGTTGGAAATCTCCACAAAATTAAAATATCAGCTTCTTATGCCAAGAAGATAAGGCAGTCAGAGTTCCGTAGTTATCATTTAAAACATTGTAATGCTTCTACACAAAATATATCAACTTTATCTATATCAAACATTCTACGAACCACATAGTGCCCAAATAAACATAAATCAAATGATTTCTTTAGTTCATATTGTATATATTAATTATATTAAATATGTTTCAAAAATATTTGTATGATAGGACGCTAGTATTCTATAAAAAAAAGTTGCAATTTGTGTATATATATTTTTTGAGATGAAACGTATATATTACAATGTGAATTTCGTTTTGAATCATTTATATTCTAATTTTAAATAATAATCAATGAACATAGTCATGTATGATTCTAAATATATAAATAAAAAAAATTAGAGATTCCTAATGAGATTAGAAAGTCTCTCATCTTAAATACATGTCTTAACAAACATATCACTCTTTTAGGCCATAGCTAACATCACGTACCTGATATTCTCGTACATGGCTATATTGTGTATTTCAAATGAGAAACTAGTCGTATAGATCCCACTCGATCTAAGATATATAACAGCACAACTCACATGTGACTGATGACGACTCGATGGGCCAAGCCGATGTGAAACATAAAAACTGGAATAATAATTTAGAAATGTAGTAAAAAGGAGTTGATGAAAAAGCTTGCATTAGAGCAAGAACTAGAGCAGTCCTAGTATTAGAAAGAAATGACACATCACTAAGAGAGCTGGAGATATTTACATTTATAGATTTATGGTTCTACCAAAGTAGCCTCTAGGCTTCAAATTAAATGTATGGGCAAAGAATAAAAGGAGAGGAGCTCAAGGTGTGCATGTATACGAAACATCAACAATCTCTCCACCTCCCTTGAATACATCTCTTGGAAGGCAAACATGTGCTTTTCTACATGTTGAGGTTGATTCAAATAGACGTGTAATCATCGCGCTCAATGCTATGATATGCGATGGATATTTTATATTGCGAGTTCAAAATAGATTGTAAAAAAAAAAAAAAGTAAGTGTTAACAGCATGGAAGACATAGTGATATTGCCGAGAGAAGTACGTTCTCCTCATTATTTAAAGACCTTCAAAGCGTTCGCAGATGCAATTAGTTCTTATGTGCAATAAATGTACAGAAGAAAAAAATGTGCGACTCTAATATTCCCAACAAGTTTCTCTAGGATATCGATTCAATGGAATCATGATAATGTATTCAAAGATGTAGAAATATGTCTTAACTAGAAGACTCGAAGCATCGATGTGGCCCCCCAGACTGAAGGACGGGAAAGAAATCATATTCATGAAGAATAAGATATGCCAATCAAAGAACTTTACGTTTGGTGTGACCTTAAAAAGAGTCAAACTATAAAAAAATCTACGCATTCTAAGTCTAGCAATAATCACTTTAAGTGTGGCAGGCTCTAGAAACAGAGATCTAATAGTCAACGGAAATTGAAACACTTACATCTCCGAAGCTTCAGAAGAATTAGTTATTGGAAATCATAACTTATCTTAAGATGAATAAACTTGGTAGGAACTGTGTAATATCCAGAAGGCAACTGAAAATAAATAAGTGAAAAGGAAGAGTAAGCAAAATGCTTACAAGATTGAGATTGGGAAGTCGCCCACATGTTGCGAATCCCGTAAAATCTTCGACCCTTGTCCTTCAAGTTTAGGAGGGCACATCGCCAGCCCCCGATCGAATCTCTTGGAATCACGACTCTGCAGGTTTGTGGCAGACGAGCGCTTGTGCTGCGAGGAAAGATGCCGCTGCCGCGACGAAGTAAAGATGGGTGCATGGCGAGAGTTTAGGGTCTCTCTCTGCACCAGCACGAGAGAAAACCATCTGGCCCGCTCTTGTGGAGACCAACTTCTTCCTACAGGAGAGAACAGAGACGTAGCCCAATTGGCATCAGGCATGGCGAGATCGGATCCATCCGCCCAGCTTCAACTGTTGGCCACGTCGCAGAAAATAACGACCATGACTGCCGCTGTCCTCTGTAAAGACCACCTTATCCCTGGGACCAAGTGTGGGAGTGTATTGTTTAGTCATAATTAGCACTCAAGACTGTAGTTTGATCAGATGAAAACATAAATGGCTGCCTGCATCGCTGCGCACATGGAGCCTGATGGGCACTTGCGCTTTCTCCGCTTGGAGCTGAAGGGTTCGCTCAGTAAATGGTCCATTAAAGCGTGAATGTCTGATTGAATGCGGCCTTGGTATGCGCAAGAGCAACTCGCCGCTCGGATGAGCAACGAGATGAGAGTTGTACGGGGTGGATGTTCACCCTCGATGCCCCAGACCCTTGCACCCTTGCACCTCTACGTCACGGTGGCCCTTCTTCCATCCCTTCCATCCCTTCGACGGAATGTTACATCTCGTGTGCAAAGGGATCGCACTCTCTCTCGTCCTCCAAGTGGGTATAAAGGCGTCGTGCGACCGGGCGACGGTACAGTATCAGGTCGCAAGGCTGTCAAGAAAATACACACGTGTAGCAACATGGCATGGCCCCATGTGGACAGATTGAATGTGCAAGTACGCTTCGTGGTCATTGCAAGTCCTCCTCCATCATGAACTCCGGAGAGTCACGCTGGAAATCGGTCTTATCGGCGAGCATGCCTTAAAGTAGATACGGTAGAAGGCTGCTTCGCATCCTGTGCAGTGAGCAGCTCGTCTTCCTCTTGCGAATATTTCATGCTTGCTTCACGAATATGCCTCTGTTTCGCCCAAGAGTTGTACTTAGGGTTCATCTCCGAATGAGATCAATCAGTCAATCATTTTCTTGTCCTAAAATACGTGTTAACATGCGAGGTTCCGGTGGGATTTCGGGTTCACAGTAAAATTCGAACCGATCTTCCGATTGTCATTGATACATGGGCAACACACAGCTTTGTTGTATAGACTTTCCAAGAGTAAGAAATTCGAACGAGGTGATTTCGTGTAGGGATTTTGGAGAAAAAACTTGATTTTGTTCGTTTTTATTAAGCTAAGCAAGAGCTTGTGAAGATCGACCAGGGAAAATCACGAGGTCAGGGAGGTTCATTAAATCTCATGGTTAGCATCCAGGTGTTGAGATTTCCCCTTATGCAAAGAAATTGTCTCCCTGGATTTCTCGTCTCTAACCATTTTCAACTTCTGATTGCAGTGAAGGTGAGAGAGTTGGGAGGACTTAATTGTGTAGAAGATGACTTGTATTGTACATCTCCCAAGACCGTGATGCACTACAGCGCCAGACTCTAGTTGCGAATCCATTTTATGGCAAGCGTCAACGACGCTTCATCGGGGTTGGCACCCTGGAGTACAAAGCTTGATTTGAGGTGAGCATATGGTTGTTGTGGCCTTGTTCTGGAGGCACGTATGCCACTCGACTTCCTGTCTTTCCATCTACGTCAAGGTCGATTATCAACTAAATTTGGAAGTCTAACATCACATGTAGTAAGTCAGGTTCAGTTGAGCTATCCACTTGGCCCCAACTTCAGTTGAGCTGGGTTGTATACAGTAGCTTGATGTATGCGCTAAGAACTACCCCACAAGTCCGATGCGTAGTGCATAGCTGTAGTACACTTTTATAGACAGAGGGCTTCCAACTAAGGCTGATGCGCTTTTCTGTTTAGATTTTCACAAAAGACTGGATATTTAATCCAACTGCAATATCCATGATAGTAATGTCTTCTCACGCCTATCTCTTCATCTTCAGTGTAGAGTCTTTTACCATCCACTCCATACTGTATGGAGCAATGGAGATTGAAAAATCCCAAGGAAACAGTGTCTTACTCGCAAGCCAGTGGGGGCTTGCCATTATCCAACGAAATCTCAACGAATTTCACTTGCTTTGAAACAACTGCTGTGTGATTGAACAAGATCTGCTTCAACCGAGACATCAAATTAATATAGATTGTACTTCATCACCTACTTCCCATCGTTTTCATTAACCCTGCTAAATCCTGAACTTCCATCATTACTCTCGGAGACAACGCAGTTCATTGGACATGTACTTGATCACCAACTTCCAACTTGCCAATCTTCTGATTGATCAAGAACTACTCTGGCGTTGCTACTGGATAATCCTCTTGGACTCTGTGTACATAGTATACTGTACCCTATATGAAAGTTGGAGCCTTGGAGGAAAATGGTTCTCAAGTCTTTGAAACTTGCATGCACCTACTTACCAAATGCTCTTCATGGATCATCAATACCTATGCACAAGTCGATCGTTAATGCCGAGAAAACGCTACCTGAGTTACGAACTACACCAGGTGTTAGAAGGACAGTTGAAGGAAATTCAATCATTTCAAACTTTGGGTACATCAGCCTTGGAATTTAGGGATTTATCACTCAAAGTCTGATTATGTGTGCATCTGTCTCGATCATGTATTACCATGGATTATCTCAATGGATTTGCGGTCTTCGCCCCTACAGTTTTGGTGCGTCCCTTTTAGCCAGGAAACATCTGTATTCAGACTTTTCCTTGGATGAAAGGACCCCAAAACTTTTATAGTTCTAAGAAGATTTAAACTTTTCTTTTAGCATGCCCTGCAAAGATCTATCTTCTTTGTAATTTGGAAAAATCCTTGAATGCAAATAATGTACACATACGTGATCCTTTAGCACGTGGATCACCGAATAATTGTTGACATTGATTACAACTTATCTTCAAGTTGTGCCGATTGTACTGGAGGGTGCAAGAACTGGCTTCAGTCATGAGCGTTTGACTTGTGTCTGAATAGATTGAATCTTGAAAATCCCAAGGGAAACCAAGTTATTAAATATTTTTAATGATTAGTGTACGTTAGATAGGATTTTGGAATCATGATAACTGTTATTGGAAAGTTCAAATTTCTTTCCCTTGAAGTGTGTTTAGCAACTAAGAAGCACTGAAGTTTTGAAGACTTCTCAGTACTTTGGTAATGTAACTCTGTAACCTTTCATCTGCTCAGTACAGTTCTTTTATGGTCGAAACTGATACTGACTCTTCCAGAATGTCAACAAGATCCATCCAGCTTTTACATTACCTGTGTTAGTATCCTTGCAGAGGCACATCATCGTGATGGATGCAACCTCAGTGGGACTCATGGGAGGCATTGGAGAAGCATTTCACACCTATACTTCAGTGGAGGCGTGTTGTAAAATTTGCATGAGGCATTAGTTAGCAAGGTGAAATGTATACAACTCTTTACGTGCAGTTTCTCAAGAACCTGTACGCCATCCACATGGAGGAATAATCAATGTGACCGGACAGACATCAGTAATTGCAGATAAAAGATCCAACATGAACTGAGTGGGATTTTTTTAATTACTGCAGAGACCGAACAAATAAAATCAGTTTCTAAAGGGATGTACGTCAATCATTATATAGGGTATTCAAAGTAGACATTATTTTAATGGAAAAAAGAAGAGGAAATCCCTTGAAGCCACCTCCAAAGATACTTTTCAGATTTGGGTTCTTCTCCTCTACAAGTCAATGAGCAAGTTGTTCACTGTGGATTCGACCGAGTCATGAGGAACGCCTTTAATTAAGCGATCCAGAATTTCAGTCCAGATCTCTGAACTTCAGAAGCTTTGGTCTTGACTCCACAATTTGAACACAGTCATCAGCCATATATGAAAAATGTTCCACAATTGGTCTCTTCGGGTTGAAACTTTATTCTTCGAAAGTTTCAATTATTCTCATGAGCTTCCAGATCGTTTATGTCCCATAGATTCCCCTTCGCACAACATATAGCTAGTAAAGTTTTCTGGATTCTATGTTTACCGAATACAATAAGCAATCAAAATTGAGACGGTTGATAACAGACACGTCTTCTGCTTGAAGTAACAACCGTTTCTAGCAACGTCAGGCTTATGCTCACCAAGAGTTTTTACATCTCACCTCTCTCTCTCTCTCTCTCTCTGATATAGTGCAGTTGTGTACGACACTTACTTGTACTGCATCTTATCTTGCTTCTCTAGGGTTCAAATATCCGTCAACCAAAGTCAAACTTGCAATGTCAGCTCAACTGAGACAGATTCAATTTTATGGTTGCGAAACTTCTGCCGGGGAGGTCATCGTAGCGACGAGATGATCAGCTGTAACTCTCGAGGGTAAACAACCCCCTGTATGATCGAGATATGAAAGTTATGGATGCTGATTTTCTAACGTGGTTTGCAAGTCAAAGTACAACTACTGTGGCTCACCTTCAATCAGGACTCAGGCGGTGATTTCTACGCCTACCCCCACCCCACCCCACCCCCACCCCACTCCCGTCCACTCCAAAGGGTTGGCCGCCTCGTCTGGGTAGTAATCATGCCGAGCTTTTGGTCAGATGGTGAAACTTCATTGCCCCTGGTCGGGTCGGGTCCTTTTGCCGTTTGTTCTCCTGAGCTTCTAGTGCTTTACAGAGCAGACTCGCCCATCATTTGGGAGCTTGGCCCCCCAGTTCAGATCCACGTGGTTGGCTGGTACAGTCGGGAAATGGTGTGCTGTGTGTAGCTTTCCGTTCTCCATGGCTCCTGAGTCCTTACGATCCCTCCAATGCACACTCATGGCCCTTTTCGCACTTTACCTCCTCATGTCTGACATAAATATGATCACCGTCACAGGATCTTGGGCCGGGAACAGAATCCGATTCTCGAACGACAGCGGAGGTTTCAAATCTCCCTATCCCTGAGATTCAGGATCTACCCAAAATTGCTTTAGTCCTTTCTCCTCAGGAAATCTTGGGACGTAGGCTCGCCCAGAACGTTCCTGCAAAGATTTTCATGCCCCATGCAAGATTTTCACAAACAATAAATGATCTTCACTATCTTGTACATTGTGAAGTCTATTTCTTTTGTCTGCAGGATCTCCAGACCAATGGGGGATGAATTCTAAAATTAGCTTCCCTGTTTGCCTTTGAAAAGAGAACTCTAGGAGCTCCTCATCAAAGACCTAGCACACTTGTACAACCCATCGGTCTCTAGACAGTTTTGGCGATGCGGTTCCAGTTTCAAAGTCCTAAGATGGTGTGAGGCTTGGCGGCCAAACTGGAGGGCAACTTGAAGGAAAGAATGAGATTCCTGGGAATTCGGTGATTCCTTTGGCAACACTTCCCTCTATTCTTGATTCTTTTTTTACGCCACTTTGTAGGTTCAAACAAGACGTCATGTGTATCCCATTCTACCTTTTCAGGAAACTTAAGCGTAGTAACACGGAGAAGCATACTTAATTGATCTTTATTTCTCAGAAAAGTGTCTTGTGAAAATATCGGTGTCTTTAAAACAATTTATTTCAATTTAAAACATACTTTATCTCATGCAAGCACGATACACTGGCTTAATGACTCTCGAACTTATTCAATGTACAACACAAGTGGATAACTTATTAATAATAATATGCAATAACAAGTGTTATCTTTTATATTAAATCTTCTAGAATTTTGCTTGAAAAAGTGATTCCATTAACAATTGCTTTGTAAGACAAATTTCGTTTCTTCTCTGAAATTTGTTACAACAATTTTCTTCATTTTTTATAAAATTTGTAATTTTTTTGTGAATAATCTCATGAATATCTGAACAATTCAAAAAATACTCTATGTCCATATCTTTTTAGAAAAATAACTGCATATGCCTTTAAACAAATATTTTCATACAATTCATATTCTATTTGTTCATCCAAATGACTTCAAGCTCAATTATCATTCCCAAAATATCATCTATATTTTCATTTATTGGACTGTTTATTAACTTCATCTCCATCAATGATCTCAGTTGATTTGTTTACTTTTATGCAATTTATGTTCAATTCTGCGTCAAGTTATTAGATACATTCATATACAATTTCATAAATGAAACAAACAGGAAAGATTTGAAGTTCAACTTGATGCAGATAAGTTATAAAAATTTTTGCAATACAGTTTTTTTTAAATAAAAAATTTTAAGATTTTCATGAAATTTTTCTATAATGAAGCATAAATAAGTAAAGTTAAGGTAATGATTATTTTGAATGACATCACATAAAATTATCGATAATTTTTTTAATAGAAATTTTGATGTCAAATTGATTCAAGATTCAATATGAAAAATATACATTAAATACAAAAAAGAAAAAATATATTTATAGAAATTTGCACAATTTTATTTCAAGTAGCAAATACTCATATCATGAAAAAAATAATTTTGAATACTTTCATATCTTAGATTTTTGCATAAGTTTTTTAAATTATTTGTTTCCTTTTAGATTTTTAAAATCACCAAAATTACATATAATTTACTGGAAATATGAAACTTAAGTCTTGAAATTTTTTTCAACAATATGATCAATTATGAATTTCCAGTCTGATAAAAAATAATTTTTGATATTTTTTGTAAAATAAAAAATTAAATATATAATATGGTAGTAATTAACTAATTTATATTTTACCAAAGATAAGTTACACCTAGAGGAGTTGGGTTATTCTTCTACTGTAAAAAAAAGCTAGCAAAAACTTTCATTGATCAACTTAAATATCATCAATATATATAATCTATGTCACGTGAACTTAGTGACCACACATATTTGATATGTTAGCGTTTCACTATCTTCGCTTGTATTCTTGGTTTCTTCTCATGAAAGATTGAAACATTTAACATTACAGTGAGAAAAGAAAGCTCATGCAATAAGAACAAATGGATGAGATGAGGTTTGAAAAAATGTTATAGTATGCATTTTCATAACAACAAGTATTGTTTGACACGAGACTTTCAAATTCTTAATTTGAGCTTTTGCGAGCAAAGGGTACGATTAAATATTCTCATAATAGGATACCATAGAAACTGTCAGACTTAATACTGCTCGGACGGGGGGTTTTGTATTTAATTAGACATGATATTAATAAAGAGATTATCAATGAAAAATCTACGTTCGTGTCATTTGTAACATTTGCAAGTGGTGGCGTTCACATCTGATCAGAGCAATCCATAGCCACATACAAATTACAACACAATGTATTTAAAGAGATCCACCAATAGGATCATGACCAACAACCTTTTGATAGCTTTTTGTAACCACAAGAAGAACCATCCATCGCTGACGCAACCGGCCTTAATCAAATGACTTCAGGAAATCCATGACGCTTATGTAAATCAAAGAACAATTTATGTTATTTGTACTTCACAGGCAAATATTTTTTATGTTGATAACCACTATGGAAAATTATTACTATTGTATTAGTTATTAACTTATGGAGATTTATTATAAAATGCATGGGGCCTGACTTAGAATTAGACCGCACTAATTAATTATGAAAAGTTATTAATTTAAGCAATATTAATTTACACTGGTTCTACTTTAGTAGACGTAGGACCGTTTGAACATTTTTAAAGACATGGAACTGAAAGTCTTTCAAAGCTTTAATAGGCGTACTTGCGATAATGTTACTACAAAAATCCAAACACTTTAGGTATGAACACACACCTTGTATGTGTCTTCCAACTAGTCCAATAAGGCGTCCAACTCTTAGTTCAACATCTTGTCAAGTTTCGGATACCCTTTTTGTGTCGACGACAAAAAATTTGTATGCGAGCAAGAATTGGTTAGTTATGCACTTTAATGTAATCTACTTTATGTTATCATCAAAAATCTCAATGCGCATCCGCAATTGCGGAAAAAGACTATGAAAGATAAATGAAATATTTGTCCAAACTAACTAGTATCCACATAATATTGATGAAAAAATACTTGGATTTGGACTAAGATTGATTCACAATCTTCTGATTAATGAAAAATTTCACTTGATAATCAAGATTGATGACTTCTATAGATGTACACATCACTTTGGATCTACTTTGATATACGGATTGTAATAGACATGTAGCAAGCAATATATTTCAAGTCAAACATGTGGGGATGATAGACAGCAGCATTTACATGCAATCAATTTTAGATTAGCAAATATCCAGTCAAACCATATGATTGTGAAGAATAGGTGGGCTTCTTTCAATGATTCATGTTTTGCATTTATTTCAGAAAAATTCAAGAAAATTGACTTCTCACTTTTGAACAATTAGAAAGTCAAATAGGTATGTGAGATGAATGATTTTGAAAAGTTTATCTTGGAGTACTAATGTTATTTTTCAGATGAAGTGATAACTACTTGAAATTTGTATCTGAGTTTACTCCAACATTATTATGTTGTTGTATTCAGAATTTACATCAGATGAAAAAAGTCTGAGCTTACTTGAAGCATTCATTCTTTTGAACTGTAAAAAATCTTCATGGCTCTATAAATAGTGTTGCAAATCAATTAATAATCTAACTAGTAGTTTGAATACTTCCACCTACGTCTTCAGTTGTGTTTTGAAGAATTGCTAAAAACTTTATGTATGTATTTTACATAGATCAAGATCAAATATTGATGAAATTTTTTTT